GGGGGGGGGGGGGTTCGGTTTTTAATTGTTTTTACTATTATTTTTTCCTACAATTCCTATAAGATTTGTTTAATAAAAAGATGGGATTGGGTGAAAATCGTTTGTTGTAAATTGCATGGAAAATTTTATTCTTGACAATTTGGAGAAGTGATCCGGTAATATTGCATGAAACAAAAGATGATGCAGAAGTTTAGTGTCACGACCCTAAACCCAGACCCGGTCGTGATGACGCCTCTCGTGAAGACAAGGCCAGCCGACACATTTCCAATTCGAAGTTAAACAGCTAAACATTAATGCAACAGGCTTAAACATGATTCAATAAAGCTAAACAGCGGATAATATCATAACAAGGCGGAAATACAACCCAAACACAGCCCAAGCCGGGGTGTCACTAGTCATGAGCATTTCTACTAAGTCTAAATACAACTGACAAGGTCCGGAATGTACTAAGTACAGACTAATAAAATAAGGAGGGAGAAAAAGCAGTGTTGCGAACGCCGGCAGCTACCTTGCTAAACTCCGATAACTCTGCCTCCGATCAGCTCAAAACCCGCTACCGGGTGTAGAATACCTGAATCTGCACACATGGTGCAGGGAGTAAAGTGAGTACTCCAACTCAGTGAGTAATAATCATAAATAAAGACTGAGTGATAAGAAATTACGAAAAGAGCATCAACATGCTGTATACAAGCAGTTTCAAAACCAGTAAGAAAGCAATGAAGCTGTAAAATCCTTTAAAACATCTTAGCTCGGTTTAAACCCTTTTGAAAATAACTATTTTAACAGTTGCGCAAATGAATGCATAACAACTAATGCAGATAAACACAGAAATTCGCCCCTCAGGCACAAGTACACAATTAAGCAAGTAAATGACAGGCAAATAAGAAAGATAGACACATAAGGTCCGCCCCTCGGGCAATATCTCAGAACGGTACCAGCCCCTCGGGCAATCACATAGAACAAAGCCAGCTCCTCGGGCTACATCTCACATCACACTGGGTACTCGCGCTCACTGGGGGTGTGCAGACTCCTGGAGGGCCCCCTTACGGCCCAAGCGCAATATCAAGCCATCTCGTGGCATCATAAACAGGTCCTCGACCTCATATCAAATTAGTGTATCACCGCTGCGGCGTGTAGCCCGATCCCAAAGATATGTATCACCTCTGTGGCATGCAGCCCGATCCCAAAAGATATGTATCACCGCTGCGGCGTGCAGCCTGATCCCAAAAGATATCCTCACAACACAGGTCCTCGGCCTTACTCAGTCAAAAATCACATAAGCCTCTCGGGCAAAAGTAAAACAGTATTTCTCAGCCCAAAACATCATTTAAATATCATTTCAGTATTAAGAACAGAGTAAACATGGCTGAGTTTTGAAAACAGTGGAAATACCATGACTGAGTTCAAGTATAAAGTCAAAACAGTAAGGAAACATCAACAACAATCCCCGAAGGGTTCACATAGTTGGCACGAAGCCCAAATATGGAATGCAGCCCAAATAATGATGATAACAAATAGATTTCAGTCAAATACGCGATAGAATCAAAAATCAGGATGGACCAAGTCACAGTCCCCAATAGTGCACGACCCCACGCTCGTCATCAAGCGTGTGCCTCACCTCAATATAGCACTACGATGTGCAATCCAGGGTTTCAAACCCCCATAACATCATTTACAACCATTACTCACCTCGAACCGGCTAAATCCCTAGCTTGCGGTGCCTTTGCCCTTCGAATTGGCCTCCATGTGAATCGAATCTAACCAAAATCAGAACGAATACGTCAAAATATGCTAAGGGAACAAAGCCCAAGCGAAAGCAATCGAAAAATACCAAAAATCCCAAAATTTGCAAAACCCGAGCCCCGGGCCCATTTCTCGAAACTCATAAATTTTTACACCAATAGGTTCCTTATCTCCCCACGAGTTCATACATACCAAAAACATCAAAATCCGTCCACAAATGACCCTTTAAATCCCAAATTAAAGGTCCAAAATTCCAAGCCCTAGTTCTTCCATTTTTAGCTTAAGTTTCCATGATTTTCTAGGTGGAATTCACATAAGAATCGAGTATTGAGTTCAAAAATCTTACCTCCAAGTGATTCCCTTCGATTCCCTCTTCAATTCCTTCACAAAAGCTCCAAAAATTGCTCAACACTGGAGAAAATAGACCAAAAGTCGCGAAACCCATCTTTTAAACATTCTGCCCCAGGCATAAATTCCTTCTTCGCGAACGCGGTCAAAGCCTCGCGTTCGCGAAGCGCAAAAATTCCGCTGACCAAAACTCTCCTACGCGAACGCGACCCTACCAGCGCGAACGCGATGCATCAGCCTCTCAAACTTTCACGAATGCGACAATACCTCTCGCGAACGCGATGCATGCTAACCCGGCCCTTCGCGAATGCGGGACTCCCCTTCGTGAACGCGCAGGCCAAACCTGACGCCTCCCTTTCTGACCCTTCACGAACGCGAGGGTCCACTCGCGAACGCGAAGACTAAAATACCTGCAACTGCTGGAACTCAAAATCTGCAACTTCCTCAACTTCGAAATGATCTGTTCAACCCCTCGAAACTCACCCGAGGCCCCCGGAACCTCAACCAAAGGCACAAACATATCCTAATACCTTATTCAAACTTGTTCCAACCTTTAGAACACTCAAAACAACATCATAATGTTAAATTTGCATCGGATTCAAGCCTAAGAATCCCAAAATCTTCTAGATTACACTTTTGATCAAAACCCGACCAAACCATGTCCGAATGACCTGAAATTTTGCACACACATCCCAAATGACATAACGGAACTACTGCAACTTCCGGAATTTCATTCCGACTTCTATATCAAAATCTCACCTATCAACCGGAAAACGCCGAAATCTAAATTTCGCCAACTCAAGCCTAAACCTTCCACGGACTTCCAAAATGCATTCCGATCACGCTCCTAAGTCCCAAATCACCTAACAGAGCTAACCAAATCATAAAATTTCTGATCCGAGATCATATACAAACAAGTCAAATCTTGGTCAAACCTTTCAAATTTCAAGCTTCAAGCTGTGAACTGTTCTTCCAAATTCGTTCCGATTACCCTGAAAACCAAAACCAACGGTTTACATAAGTCATAATATACTACACGGGGCAAGTCATGCCCGAGAACTGGCGAGCAAAGTGCAAAAACTCAAAACGACCGGTCGGGTCATTACATCCTCCCCCACTTAAACATACGTTCGTCCTCGAACGTGCCCAGAGTTGTTCCAAAAGCCGACCAATTGCTGAATAACCTTACCATGCACATACCCGGGGGTGATCTTACGTCACCCTATCTCATATAGGTCCGATAACACATAGAAACTGAAATTTCATAATCCAATCTAGCCCATAAACCATAGAACCACATTTCCACTTCCAAAATCATCAGTACAATCAGAATTTCACATTTATACTCTGAATAAGCCCGAACAAGCTGTAATAACCCATACCTGCTAACTCAGGTGCAATCACATGATATACCACATAACTCAAACACTTGTAGCGATAACTTCTAATCACAGCAGCTGCACACAACAACCGAATACCGATAGAAAACCTCTTATCAACTAAAGTCTCATCCCAACACTTTCATATACTGCTAGTGATAACTAAAACACACAGTAAGGCTTAACTATTTCTTAGATCAACCATTCATGAAGCCACTTCTCATTTGGCAAAGACCATATCAAATTTCTGAGCTGAACCTCGATATTTATCCTTCCAACATGCTAAAATTGAATCCATTCATATTCATTAAAGATCCCAACGATCTCATCTAATCATACACAACCACTCTGGTGACATGACACCTCATCGCAGACTAAAGCCATAACTTGCACAATACGCGCACCAATAAGCAATAGTCCGAACATACTCAAATCATGAAAACGGCTCAAATGAAAGAGCTGTACCTCAAACTCACAAGTACCACCAGAACACAAGGTTGAGAACCCGTCTCACATCTTAGGAACAGAACACACGAATCTAACCCTCAAGGTCATACCTCCACATAACTTTGTTGCAATGCGCGGCCCTACCCAAACGCTGCTCCACATGAAATACCTTAAGTCACTCTGCTCGAAATTGACGACCACGCGCAATTGATGTCTAGAACCAAAGCAAATCATCATGACCACAGTGAAGCAATTACATAACACTACTCAACCCAAAAAGATATAACCAATACGCCATCCGCCGAGCAATATCCAATACTCTTTCCCGCTCGACTTCCACTAAGGAAACCCCCAATTGAAACGCACCATCTGTGCCTATAACCAACAAATCATAATGCCTCGCAACATAGAAAAGGTAACTCATAGATCTCCCCAGATTACTAATAATCTCAATAACAATCGAATCAACACATCCCTCAACAATACAATCCGGAGCCAACCAAGCCGACTCAAGTTATAACACGCATCCACATTGGCCTGCCAACGAACTCCCTATCAAGGAAATCCTGAAGCTGCTCCTTTAACTCCCTTAACTCTATCGATGCCATACGATACGGTGCCCGACATTAAATCAGTACCAAAATCAACAACCTTGCCTGGCGACCTGCCCGGCCACAAGAAACACATCCGAAAAGTCCCTTACCACCGGAACTGAATCAATATGAGGAGCCTCTGCACTGACATCCATCGCGAGAGCCCAAATAAGGAAGATAATCCGTCCCATCCCTCCACTGGGCCTTCGAAACATGAAACCACTCTACCAAGAACATAATCCGTCGAACCTCGCCACTCAACCCGTGGCATTCCTGGCATAGCCAACATTGCCGCCTTAGCACAATAGTACAGAATAACACAACACGAAAACAACCAGTCTATACCTAGTATTACATCCAAGATTTAACATACCAAGTAGCAAAAGACCCACTCGGGTCTCCAAACCCCGATAGTCATTACACGGTGCCGATACACACGACCCGTAACCACAACATAGC